CTGTCGCCTTGGTGCACAGCCTTTCCACAGTCCATGTCCACAACGTCATCGTCATCGTCGTCATCGTCATCGTTTGGTTCGTCAGCGTCGTCAGCAACGTCGTCACCATCGCCATCACCATCGCCATCGCCATCACCATCGCCATCATCGTCACCATCGCCCGTTAAATACATAAATTTTCATATAAGCGCATTTGGAGCCTCGACCACGGCCTTTCCAAATGCATGTTGCGTTTTTCATTGGCCGAATTGCATTTCAGTTGCGCCTCAAAATGCAATGCGAAAAATTCGTTTGCACTAATTTGCCAAATGCAAGCTCGCCTCTGCACAGTGGGACAAATACACACCGATCATGTCCATAGCACTTAGCACTTAGAGGAAAAGAGGGAGTCCGAACCAAACAACAATAATGTAACGAAGAAAAGGAAGAGCTAGCACCCTCCTGCAATTTCTGGGAGTAGTACTGCAATGAAATTGTTTCGCTAATATATTTTCTTAGAATCATCCGATTTGAAACAAAAGTAGTGTGCAAAGTTTGCTTAATGTAGCTTTGAAATGTGAACAGTATTGACGAAATTGTATAGCAGGGGAAATAAACTCGTCTAGCTTAAGGACTAGGAGAGTTAAACGGACAGACGTCCGTCAGGACACGCCTGATTAGGAATATATGTATACAAGGGCGAAGGCAGGGGGCCAGGAGAGGAATTTGCTTTGCACAAACCTAATACACCCTTTCTACGCTACTCGATTATAATTGAGTTTGCAATAATATGAGAGAATTAAGTTGTGAAATTTTGAGATGCAGTTTCAAGGCACATCTGATATTATCCAGAAGATATTCCTCCGAAGTCTAGTTCCTTTCCAATTGGTTCGGTTCCTAATTCCAGGCGTCCATCTCATGCTCACCAAGAATTACTTATGGTGTCGAAAACGTATCCGTCGAATCGAGTATCCGCTTTTATTGTAACTCATTGGATAATCAGCCGCGCTGAAAAGCAGCTTCTTAACAAAATGCTGCCTAATCGTTTGCGCAAAACTTCATTGAGGAGAAAGACCTTATTTTATTAAACATTTTTTTTGTTGAGAAAATTGGTTTTTCTAATTGTTTTAAATGTATTTATTTAACAGTATTACTAATTAACAAAAGTATCAAACATGATCCCGTTTTCAAATGCATTTTCAAAAAAAGATTACAAGTTTAATAGTTTTTCTCTGAATGTATTTATTTTTAAATTTGACCAGCCAAGCTTCAAGACCAGAAATTCATTTATAGTTCGGAACTTTGCAAAATCATCAAACTTCGTTTGATGGAGTAGAAGCGATGGCTTATGCCTCATCACCAGAGTATTAGGTATATGCATATATATTTATTGGGTTACATTTATGTTTCGAATTAAGCAGACTATTCAAATATATATAGTATACTTTTATATTATAGTATTCAAATATGGTAGTATATAGCGACACAATCGATGTACTTATAACTAAGCTCTATTTCAATTCTACAATGTTACATTTTCTTTTAATATAATAGTATACTTGTATAGCGACACAATCGATGTACTTATAACTAAGCTCTATTTCAATTCTACAATGTTACATTATTTTTTAATATGAAAAAATTGCGTAAGCGAATATTTGTCTATTTGTCTGCGAACACTAATAACTCGTAGAAGTATTCTGTTAAGTACAACACGTAGCTTAGTCATTTCATTGAGTCTATTCTATTGCCCAAGAAAAAGGAGCCATTTTTTTTTAAATGTCTGTCGTGTGTCTAACCTAAGATCAGCAGTGTATTGTATACTGGATTTTCAAAAATGTATTTAGCCACCGACCCTTGAATTTATGTTCACATATGCAAATAGTTTGTCCGCAAAATGCAATGTTAACAACGCTTAAATCAGAAGACGAAGCAATTTCGATCTTGATGATTTGATCATGATTTGTAATTTAAGAAAAACTCGAACTTAAGAAGCAGAATTGATTCTAATCAGTGTTGCCCTACCTCATTTTTATTTTGCCCGTCAGCATCGTCTAATTGGGCAGCACTCCCACCTTCATTGTCTCATTCGTGTCAATGCCAGCTTTGTAAAATATTCATCTCAATGTTGTGCTCTGATATTACTAGGTTTATTGCTTCATTTTATGCATATTACAATATATACATACATTTATAATATATGCAAATACTAGAGTCCAAAACAATAATTAAAATACATACACCCACACACACATGCATACATTGCAACACTCACACACACAGATATGTATGTATACATAGATACATATGTATGTAGATATGACTAACGAGTCTCAAGCGACAGCCCCCTCACGGTCTGAGGAGCCGCACGAAGCGCACGTACGAACGAGAACAAAAGCAACAACAACGGCAGCAACAACAAACGAAAAAAAAAACTTACAAGCCACCAACAAGAAAAATGCCAAACTGCAGGTGCACCGGCACCATTACCGGGTTTTTCCAAAAGGCTTAGTCTCTGCCCCTTTGCAAGAGCAAGACAGTGCCAGAAAAGAGAGAAGTTGCCAAAGCAGTCAAACAGTAAAAGTTAAAGGAGAGAAGTGGCGCATCGTCTACAGCTCTTAAAATAAAAGCACTAAAGCGCACACAAGAGTGTGCAGAGCGCCACGACGATGATGAAGACTGCGGCGAATTTATCTGTCGGTGAGCGACGGCAACGGCGGCGACTACACATGAGTTTCGCTTAAGCATTTGTTTACAATAAAGGCGACGCTCTGGCGACGACGACGACGACTGTACGGAGAACAAGCAAGTGAACGCTGCTGCTGCCTCTGCCAACGTCGCTGCCTCTGTCGATGGCACTGCGATTGAGAGCACGTACACGCATACACACACAAACTGCGGAAGCGAACAGCAACGGAACTAATTAATGAACAATCTTTTTGCTGTTGCTGTTGCTGTAGTTGTTGGTGTTGGTTGGTGTTGCTCGCCTTTCTTATTGTTCGTGTGTGCGTTATTTTTTTTTCCAGTATTTTTGGTGGCACGTGAGAGTTTGAGTTGAGAGTTCATGCCAACATTACGACACATTAATTGACTAATCAGACAATCTTTGAATAAGATTCAGTTTTGTGATGATCCATACTTGAGGAGTGCAACGCGAAGAAACCCCCAAAAAGGGGAAGGAAGCAGCCTAGGCTAATAAATTCGCGCTCTCGCAGCGCCAAACGTCGCCTGCCGCACATCAACTTCCGCCAACTTCCCGACTCACATACACATCACTACTTACATAAATACGTACATAAATACATATGCACATAAGGTATCCCCCGCCTTACGGCTTAAGCCTTCCTAACGACTCTCAACGCATTGCAATGCGCGCTTTTTTGCCAGCAGAACAGAACGCATTGCCGAAAATGCATTGCCCCATACAAACATACACACACACACACAAGCGCACACACATCCATACGTACATATGTATATTTGAGGAGCACTAGTTTGTTAGTGTGTGTGGGTGCGTTCCTTTTCGCAGCAATTTTTGGGGGTGCGCAGCGCACGCGAATCGTTTGTCGGCGGCATCGGCCTTCTGTGAGTGCAAGTGCCATTGCCAGTGCGAGTGCGAGTATGAGTATGAGTATGAGTGTGGGAGAGGAGAGGAGAGCGCGAGTGAGCACATTTTCCCGAGTAAAGGAATTTTGAATCGCGCGCCTCGTAGTCGTCACCGTTGCCGTTGTCGTCGTCGTCGTCTGTTGCATATGCGTGTATGGCTGCTGCTGCTACTGCTCTCCGCATAATTTTTCGGCGCGCACACACACACGCACTGGCACTCACTCACAGGCACACACACGCACACACACAAAAGTAAGTTGTTGCAGCAGCGCCGCCTGCACTAATCAAAGCGCCTGCTCCTTTCCAGCGCCGACTGCCGATGACTTGACTGTGCGTTTATGGTGGGGCCCAGCGGCTGGGGTTGGGGGCGGGGAGGCACGCGCAAAATGTAACTGCAGCGACGCAGCTGCATCGCACACTATTGCAGCAGCAAGAACAACAGTAGCAGCAGCAGCAGCAGCCACGTCGCGACCGTCGACTCAGCGAATTCGCATTCGCCAAACGACGCTAAGCGCCAAACGACTCCCGACACCGACTCCAGCGCAACTAACACAACAACAGCAACAACAGCAACAACAAGAGCACCAACTACAACTACGGCATATACCGGCGGCACACATACACAAACAGAAACAGAAACAGAGACTGCTGCTACTGTCGCCATCATCGTTGGATTTTTGCCTGTTTCTGTGCTTCAGTTTTCCACACTCTGGCCTTTGTGTGCAATGGCTGCGGCGGCTGTTGCCGTTGCCGTTGTCGTTTGCTGTTGCTGTTAAGTTTGTTTTGAGTTTTTCCGTATCGAAATGTGCAAAACGATTTCAGTCTAATTCAGACGCTCGTGCTGAGAAGACTTTTGGGCTGTTCGTAGCAAGAACTCACACACAGAGACGCATTCACTCACATACACAAGCAATCATACAGGGGGGCTCACACAAACACACACTCACACTCACACACACACACACATACATATAGAGATAGTTGGCCGGCTGTTTGGCAGACCGGCTGCCAACACAACCCGAACTGTTAACGACGAACCTTGTGAACGACTGCGACTGTGACTTCGACTTTCGACTACGACTGCACGTAACGCATTACGTAATGAACGTAAGGTATAAAGTAAAGCACGATCAGCAGAGACTCTCACAACAACAACAACATCTGTGAAGATGACATTCAACTGTCGTTGTGCATGTGTATGTGTGTGTGCGGCAAAAACAATGCTATTCTACTAATTGCGGGATATTTGTTTTCGTAGGCCAGCGATGTTAATGTGAACGCGAAACATTAAAATTAAAAAAGAGAAAATACAGCAGCGAGAAACTCTCGCGTTACGTCGCGTGCGCGCGTGTTTTTGAGTAAGGATCTATAAATCCGCAGAGAACGGAACGATCGAGAACATACATACATTAAAAATGGCGTCTTCGGAAATGCCAGCTCGTGTTGAAACGCCTCTTGGCGCCGATTTGCCGAGCGAAACGAATGCCGAGCAAACGCAAGCATCGCAGCGTCAGCGTAGTGGGGGTGGGGGTGGAGGTGCTTCAAAGGATTTAAAGGATGCCAAGGATAGGGGGCAAAAAACGGATATACAGAGATCGCCCGAACAGCGAAGATCACCGGAAACTGAAACAACGCCGGTGGGATCACCAAACAACACCAATGCAGGCAATACGGGGGGCGGTGGCGAGGGGGGCTTGGGACGCAGCTCTTCAGTGGACTCATCATCGACGCTGCCGCAACAATTCTGTCTTCGCTGGAACAATTATCAGAGCAATATGACGACCATATTCGATCAGTTGTTGCAGAACGAATGCTTCGTTGACGTCACGCTTGCCTGTGATGGCCGCTCGATGAAGGCCCACAAAATGGTGCTATCCGCCTGCTCGCCCTACTTCCAGACCCTGTTGGCCGAGACGCCCTGCCAGCACCCGATTGTCATAATGCGTGACGTCAACTGGCCCGATCTGAAGGCCATTGTTGAGTTCATGTATCGTGGTGAGATAAACGTCAGCCAGGATCAGATCGGGCCCCTCCTGCGCATTGCCGAAATGCTGAAGGTACGCGGCCTAGCAGATGTCACGAACATGGAGTCCTTGGCTGCAGAGGTGGACACGCCCAGCATGGCACAGGTTTCGCCCAAGGACTCGGCATCGGCAACGGGCGTCGAGCGCGAGGCTGAGGAGCTGCTCGCCTTCATGCAGCCCGAGAAAAAGCTGCGGTTGGGCAATGAATGGGGCGACTTCGGAGCAACTGCGTCCAGCAACATAGAGTTTCGCATGTCACCCCACCAGCAGCCAGCGCGCAACGTACGCAAGCGACGCTGGCCCTCCGCCGACACAATTTTCAATCCGCCCTCCAGTCCACTCAGCAGCCTCATAGCTGCCGAGCGTTTGGAACAGGAACAGCAACAACAACACCAACAGCAGCACCAGCAGCAAAAGGAACGCGATCGCACGGAGCGCCAACTGGACTGCTCCCTGATGACGCCACCGTTAAATACCGTCAGCAGCTCCAAGTCTGCGGGTGCCGGCACCAGCGGGCCAGGCAGTGGCACGCCCCGACGTCTCACTCCGTCTTCCGCAGCAGCAGCTCTGGACGTGCATGGCCTGGAAATGCCCTCGCCGGCGACCACACCCGCGCCCAGTGCTGCAGCCGCCACAGCCGCAGCTGCAGCCGCCGCCGCTCTACTCTCGCGCAACGCTTCTACGGCTCGCTCTCCCGCACCAGGCTCGTTGTTAGGCTCTAGTACCGCCCAACAGTCCCACCTGCATGGTCCCTTCTCGCATCACGGCTCTGTCCATCAACACCACCAGCATCCACATCAGCATCAACACCACCACCCGCAGCATCATTCGCAAAACATCTCACCCGCTTCGTCCGCACACTGCGGCTCCTCTGGCCACACTGCGCCATCCAGTTTGGTTCCATCGCCAGCGAGTGAGGCGCGTTTTCCGATGAACCCCGCCGCAGCCATGGCTGCTGCTATGGAACTGAGTGGCCTCGGAGCTGCACAAACGAATACGTCGGCGAGTTCCGAGCCACGCCTTCCACCGCCCCCTCACCATCATATCACTCCGTCACCGTCTGATGACATGGAAATCAAACCCGGCATAGCCGAAATGATACGCGAAGAAGAGCGGGTGAGTCGACAATAATTTCTAAATTAGATGATAAGAACACTTCCAAAAACTGTTGCCCATTTTGGTATCGAAAAATACCCGCTTTGTCAAAGATCGTTACTGAACATAAGCTGGGGAATTAATAATTATATACTTATTATTATTTAAGGCAAGTGCATCAAACAAACTAAAAGAAAACAGCATTATTTTCTTCATTTTGTGCCCATTGAATATTTGAAAACAAATTATATTACATCTCAATCTTTTTTGGGAAAACATTTAAATTGTAAGCGAAACAAAATCAATTAAACTATTACAGTGGGTATCTATCGATACTCATTTCGTCTAACATCTATACTCAGTTCAAACAGAAAAACCACTTAAAACCAAATAAAAAAAAAATAAAGACTTTATCCGCGATTAATTAAAGTGAAGAAACTAATTATAAGAATAACTGAGGGTAGCTAAGGTCTTCTTTTTGGAGTGGTGGATGGGCAGTATAAAATATGTTCGTTGAGGGAGCTGGAAAAATTGTCGCTAAATAGGTCCTAAGTTCAAGCTCATACAAGAATCGAATAATTTTCTTCATGGTTCGGTTTCTCTTCATTCAATTAACTCTAAAGATGTCCCCTAAGCTCTGCCAACTTATTCAGTTATCAGAAGTCAGGTAAAAGATTCCAAGCCTTATATTTTCTATTAAAAATTTACACAAAGAAAACATTACAGATACACGCATACGTTTTTTTAAGAAAAGCTCATTTTTACAATTGTTTGAAATAAGTCGAAAATTTGGAAATAGACCGCAGTAATTATTTGGAGACTAAAAATATGTTGGAATTACTTATGATAAGAAAAATTATATTATCTTACCAAGAAATCTGTATATAGCTGTACATATAAACGTAGTTAGCGATGGTTTCTTCAAAACGTCAAATTTGTATAGAGGAAAAAATCAGCCGCAGATAAACGCTTCTCAAATGTTAGATCTTAGCGATCTTTTTAACACAGTTCAATTTTTTCGTTTCGCAGCCGCGCTCTGTTCTGGTATGCCACTGCAGTTTGCTTCTCATTCACAAAAAGTCATCAGTGATCTCTCCATGTTCGTCTCTCTCCGCTCACGTACATCAACGAGTTGGCTCTTTAGGTTTTGGACTCTCTCGCTCCACACATTGTCAGTCCGCTCGACTGCCACATTGCCATTTGTTTTGATTCACACTTCTTTGCCGGTGCGAATTCTTTCTTCATTCCGCTCTACTCGTTTCACTGCACTGTGGGCCAAAGGACTCCGATTTTTGGATTAAATTAAACATTTTGAAATTTCACTGCGTACAGTACGTTAATCCTCTTCTTGAAATGCATTTAGCTTTGCAACTGGAGCTTGTCGTATATTCAACCATATTTTTATTTTGTCACTTTAATTTACTTTATTGTTTATAGTCTAATTGGGATTTTTTTTTAAATATTATTCCGTAGGAATTTGGTACTCTTTCCTTTAGATATATTTTTTTTATTAAAATTTTAATATTCAGCTACAGAGCTGCTTGCCAACTCCAAGCGCAAAAGTTCTTCCTTTATTCTTACTAGCCTCTTTTTCTAAAAGGTCTAATAGGTATACCAACAAACCGTAGAGGGCGTGCGAGGAAGGTACATATAAAATATAGTCGGATTTAAAAAAGAGTCGAATCACTGTTTGTAGGATAACTTTTTAGCCTTTAAATATATTTGAATAAAATGTGGTACACTATTTGCCAAAATTTATAAATATATTTGAATAAAATGTGGTACACTATTTGCCAAAGTTTCATCAAAATCGGCCAACTGTATCACATAGCTGCCAAAGGAACGATGTGTACAGAAATCAAGCATTGTAGCAACAACTTTTTGGTCCGTAAAGATATCTTCAGAAGACTTTAACATTCTACTCATCAGAGTTAATATTTTGGCCAGTATTCGAGCTCCGCCTACCCATTGTGCTCTGGCACTGCACTAATGAGCACACGCCCTGACGTCACAGTAAGTTAACGCTTGTCATTGTGGTCGTTGCTCGACGGAATGTTGACCCCCAAGTTGTAGGCATGATTGACAGCATTCACGTGCTGCGACGCCGACGATGACGCCGACGATGACGCCGACGATGAAGATGAAGACGAGACCCGCGGCTGTCTTTTTACTATATTGGCTGCTGGACTGGGTAGAGACTTGTTCAACCTGAGAGGAGAGCTGATCGTTGTCTGTTTATTTGTTGGGAATCAGCAACTGTTAGACGTTGCTTCGCACTTTAATAAAATATTGTATGTATGTATGTATGTATTTTTATTGTCTATCCGAAACCAGTCCGCTGCTCTGACTGACCAGCCAGCAGAGCTTCAGCCGCCGGAGCACATCAATCGCGTCGTGTTTATTGTCGCCTTCGAGTGCGTTCATCACATAACCAATGAGCAGGTCCAAGTGTCCGGAAGATAGAGCCCATGGCCTGCCTCACAGTCAGCCGAAGATGCATACAAATGTATATCTTTTCATAATTCTTGGCAGCTCTTTTAAATTCTTCTTTTTGCCATTTACACGGCATTCAATAAATATGTTGTTTTTATGCTTTTTAAATATTTTCCATTCAACGAGGGGCCGTTTCTTTCGATCTTTATGTGAATAGAGATCCATAGAAATGCATTTGCCTGCAGACTCGGCTGCATCAGTAAGCCTATAAGTATTTGTTTATTCCTACCTTCGCGTACTTATATCAACACTGGCCACTCACTGAGTTCTTTTTCCCATACTTCAGACACTTTATGTTATGCACGCAGTCTGATAATTCGAGGTAATTCTTGGCGTTTACTTGCTATGAAGAGTCAATTTATTTTTTTATTTATTTATGGAATGTACACGGCGACCCAATAAGCAAGTAAAAACTAACTATATTTTGCTAACTTAGAACGAACTAGATCTAGAAAGGTACATACTTTCTTGTGGTCTCATACTAATTTACCTAATGATATACAATAAATTAACTTTATCACAATATTACTAGCGTCTATTGCCTGACCCGTTCCTCAATCTGATTTCTAGAAATAAGAGCCAAACTAATCCCTTTTGGTTTGGTGAGCCATGTTTACGGTATCATCTATAGATATAATAGCAAGCAATACTAACATCGGATTCTATTCACTTTGGCATAGCATCAGTAGTACATCTGGATGGTATTCATATCTGATTGCATCTCAACACGTCTATCAGTTGATTATACCATTTACTGCTTTAAAAAAAAAACAAACCACACCTAGTGCGTAAGTCATCGATTATATGCTCTTGAAAGACTTCGTATAAAAGTATGTTTGCTTAAGTCTTGATATAAGTACGGTCTCAGAATTTATTTAAAAGAATGTAAAATCTAGTTGTTATCTAATTTGATGCAAAGGTATCTTCTCTTTTCAACGTTGAATTTCTATGGTCCCTTTTAAATTTGTTAAATATTATACTGCCGTTCTTCGTATATGTCTAAAATTATAAACAAAGAACTCGTGACTAGCACAAATATTTCGTAGGTGTGCCACTCCCTGGGAAGCCAACTAAACAAATAAATAATTAAGAAGTCGACAAGTGTATGCCAGCGACATAGAAATCTAAATACAGACGTTACAATAAAGCCATATGAGATAGAAAATTAAGTTAAAGAGACCAAATAGGAAAAGTCTAATCAAATGACAGTCATATCTAATGACGCCTCCGACTCATTATTGGGAATTTTATTCGCCATCCGGCCAGCAATGCCTCGATTCAGAGGCAGAGACGTTAATAGAACTACAAATAAACAAAAAGGTATACGAGAAAGGAAACTTTTCATTATTAATTTGTTTATTAACTTATTTTATTTTAGAAAAAAACAGAGAATATCCGACAAGAGCAGCTTGGAGAGATTGAAGAGAGTAAGCATGGTTGAGAGCATTTTGAAGAGATTGCTATAATTTGAGATATATATTAGTTCTCTTGCCACGACCACCAATCGTATAAGCGATTTGAAAATTACTGCGCTTTAAATTAAAGCCTAACCAGTATATCAATATCTTTGAGAAAAACATATATCAAGTATATTTTCAAATTTCTCATGGTCCTGGGTTTGATTATAGTTGGAAAAGTTCTTCTTCGAAATAATACCATATTTTTTTTAATCAAACAACGGTGTTTGGGAAGGTCTCTAATACGATCGTTTCATTGTCCAACAATTGGATCGAAAATAAAGATGTAAGTGAAACAAAAAATGGAGTGCAACACATAACAGAAATGGGCTGCATGTTCATGAACAATGATCTTAGTTTAATGAAAATAATGCAAGCTTGCTGTCTGCCGACATCCGATAGAAGTTAAGAACATCAATCAAATGGAAAATGAAGGCTTAACGCACTTGTATTTGTTGCATCAAATAAAAAAACTTTGGGTGTCTGAAGATGTGCGAGAAGAAAACAAGAACAAGTTTATAGCTTCAATCTTCACAATCCTTGAAGTTAATTAATTTAATGTGAAATATTTAACCTATAGAAATGTTATTTGTATTTTAATTTCCATCTATTCACAAAACCTTTGTTCCTCTACATAGTTGCTACACTGTTGCAGCCTTTTATGTTCAATAATACGCCAGCTCTCACCCATTAATATTATTTCTCCAAATCGACGAACTGTAGCTTTTGTGGGTATAGAATGAGGTAAGCAACTCATTCAATAGATGCACACACACCTACCGAATGTGTCATTCAAACTGCTTGCACAAAATGTAATACGGAAAATTAACTCTCAGCAATCAAAGGACAGCAGTTGAGTGTGTGAAGAGTGTGAATAAGTTGGAGCATAAAACAGGAATCTTGTGCACCGCTGTTTGTGTTTAAGGAGCTGCGCAAAGGATGCCAACGAGCCACTTAACCCTATAGACAAAAGCCTTTACACTCGTCACTCTGGCACGACTGCCCTGCTGCACCACTTTGGCACATTTTCCTTCCTCTTCCCATCCAATGGGCACTTCGATACATCTGACT